GTGTGTGTGGGGTGGGGGGGGGGATTAGGTGACGTGGGTGTCGAGTGCCATGCAGTTTGCCAACGTCGTCATGTCCATCATCACCACGACCTTCGTCGACACCCTCGGCAGACGGCCGCTGCTGCTGCTCGGACTAGGCATTGAGGTGCGTGAAGCACAGTCGCACAGACGCACACACACAACATAAGATAGATCCACATTGGACAACGATGCTGCCTGCGGTTGTGCACACCACTCAGTGGGGCTCTATGCTGCCGGTGGGGATTCTTCGCCTGCTCGCCGAGCAGTACAACATCCACCTCCTGCCATACCACTGGGTCAGTCAGCCGACATCAGGGCCCTGCTCTCTCTTGTTTCAACACGTGAATCTGCCTGTGTGGGTGGGATGGTTGGTGCAGCTGGCGTGGCTGTCAGTGGCGGCGACGGTGCTCTTTGTGTTGGGATTTTCCTTCTCGCTGGGCCCGGTGGTGTGGATCTATCTGTCAGAGATCTACCCCGTCGAGATACGCGGGACGGCTCTCGGATACTGCGGCGTCATCAACTGGTACGTGTCGGCACCACCAGCACCAGCAGCAGCAGCAGCACCAGCCACCAGAAGCTGTTTGTCTGTGTCTGGGGTGTGTGTGTGTGGCGTCAGGCTGTCAGCCTTGATACTGGTGTTCGGCTCCAAGTTCCTCTCCGTCACGGCATCTATGAACATCTTCGCAGGTAGCTGCAGCCACAGGTCACTGAGACCAACAGGTCCTGCTCACCCGATGCGCTGTGTGTGCTTGTGTGGGATGCAGTTGTGTGTCTGGTGGGATTCCTGATGACGTATCGCTGGGTGCTGGAGACCAAAGGCACGTCAATCGACGACTCGCCACTCAGCCCAAGATCAGCTCGGTACGCCTCACGCAACCAACACAGGCACTCGCACACACACACACACGTCAGGAATAAATGCCTGCAGATCTGAGTCGAGCCTGGTCCAGCGGTCAGTGTCCTCCGTGTCACTCGACGATCTCAGGTCTGCATGACATACCACAAACACGATTCCCCACCCGCCTGTCTGTCTGTCTGCCAATGTGATCTGTCTTCCTCCCATCAGAAATCGGCTCCGCTCGGCCCGTTCGAGCCCCAACCTGGCGGACCCCTTCACAGCCGAGGACGACACGGTCGAGATGACCGAGGAGAGCAGCAGCCCCATCGGCCTGCGGCTGCCGGGCGACCACCCGCCGCTGCCACACGCGGCCTCCGTCCCAGCGCACGTCAACGTGCGGGCGCAGCGCAGTGCTGGCGGCAACCCTCAGGGACACTGAGACACACACACTCACACATCAATGGCGGGATGGGCTGTAGGTCGATCGATATGGTTGTTGGGTGGTCGTGGTGGTGGTGGTGGGCGTCTTAGTCGTGTCGACGTGTGTGTATGGATGGCTGCATTGCCTGTCTGTCCGTCTGTCTGTCTGTCTGTCTTGGGTGGCGTGCATCGATCGGTGCACAGGTGTGTGTGTGTGTGTGTGTGTAAGGCGATGGGCTTGCTCTCTCTCCATGTGCCGTCTTTAAGGCTGATTCGTGAGCATCTTCTACATGTGTGTGAGCATGGCTGCGTGCCGTTCGTTCTGAGGGCTGATGGCTGGATGGCTGGCTGGCTGATTCTTTCAACGAGTCACCCACACACACGTCATTGCTCGCAAGTCTTCGCCCATTTTCCGTCACGGTGCATGGTTTGGTGTGGCTACCACACACACAAACCACACATAGCCACAACCACAGCCACGCACAGAGAGGTGCATACGTGCAGGCAGACAGACACTGAAGACATTTTCCCTACGAATCGAGGTTTGCCCTCCTATCTATCACGCGACCCACTTACGCGAGTGACTGACTGGCTGGCTGGCTCACCTCTCTTGATGTGAATGGCTGCCTGACTGCCTGGCTGGCTGATGTGTAATGTACGACAGATGGAGGGGGGAGGGGGAGCTGGTGGTTTTGCTTTCTGATTCTGATTGGCAGTACGTTGCTGAAAGACAGGGCGCTTCGGTGTGTGTGGTCGGTCATTCTTCGTGAAGCTGCTCTTCCGGCTCTTTGTCACACCTGACAGAGAGCCTTAGGTGTGACAGAGAGCCTTGTGAGTGCAGCATGCCGAGCAATGACCGACCCCCCACACACAGACAGACACACGCGCAGAGAAAGATATGTTGTCGTTGTTCCTCTTGAGTGAGCTAGCTGTGCGGTGCGGCGCATGGCTTTGCATGGCCGTCCTTCACTGGCGCAAGTTGTACGCCCGCTCTCATTCTTGCACACAAGAATGAACCCTGGCGGTCCGCTTGTTGTTGTGGAGGAAGGCATGCATGCCTGCTGATCGAAGCGAACGAACGAACGAACGAATGAAGGAAGAGAGAGACACTCAAGAGTGAATCAGTAACGTCAGCCGTCAGCCGCAGATCGGTCCCGTGGCTTCTCGAGAAAGATGGAGAGAGGAGATCAGCCTCTATGGTATGCGATGGATGCAATTGCATAGACAGATAACAAAACACGCACAGACAGCACCACACCCTGGAGACAGCACTAACAGAGAGGGCGCGGCGCGTGTGAGTGCGCGTGTGAATATCTATGGATACGGCACGGACAGTTGGATTGGACTGGATGTGAGTGAAGTCGCCCACCGTCAGTCAGTATAATTCACACATGACCACTCACTCATTCTCACACATGGCCGGACGACGTGGACATGTAAACGCACAGATGTCGGCAGACGACACCGCGCCCGTCCATCTCATCTACTCACATCTCGCTGCAAGTGCTGCTGGGCTGTCTGTTCACTGCCAGCACCACCAGTCTACGAATCAACTCACCTACACACACACACACACAGAGATGCCATCGATGCAGTCACTTGTTGCACCTTGTATATGTGAATCTCTCTCCCGCACTGTGGCTCACTTGTCTTGTGTGCTCTCCTCTACTGCGGGATGAGGTGGCCGAGGCCATGTTTGGTCAGCAGAGGGCGGGCCAAGGACAGCGCGATGGGGTAGCGGTCGTCCAGCCGCTCCTGGCCCTCGATGGCCGCCTCGGTCGTGAAGAGGTAGATGTAGCCATCGGCCAGGTACAGGTAGGCGGCGACGGTGTCGTCCTCCTGTGTGCCATTGATGATGATGAGTCGCAGCCCCCCCTCATTTCCCTCGGTGAAGTCGATGGTGGTGTGGCCGTCGATGGGATCGGTCAACAGTCGCTGGTAGCCCTCATCGCCATCGCCTACTTCCGCCTGGAATACCTCCCTCTCGTCCACCTCCACCCCCTCTTGGCAACACCAGCCCAACAACACCATCGACTTCATGAAGGCCGTGAATGAGGGGAAGCGGGGGCGGATGAGATGGGCGTGGCGGATGGGCGGATTGTGGGGGTCATATGTGTGGCGGTAGGGATGCTGGGGAGGGAGGGAGGGCGGACAGCGGCACCGTCTCGACCGACTCCGATGCGATACCGCTGTCGCGTCACCCCACCGTCCCCTCCATCTCCCCCGCCCTCCTTCTTGCCATCGTCGGCCTCATCCAGCTTTGTGAGCACCAGACTGGTGCCCTTGCAGTTGAGGAGGTGGCCGAATGTGCTGTACTGGCGAAGGGCGAGGGGCATGGTGTGGAAGTCGGCCTTGGTGGGCAGGTGGGCCGCCATCCACTGGGGCGACATGATCAGCGGCAGACCAGTCGAGGGCGTCAGCTTGTAGATGTCAGCCAGCCGAATGAAGTCGGGCCACTCACACCACACCGCCCCGCCATGCTCGAGGGCATACGCGCACTTGGTGTAGTACTGAAACGGCCTCTCCACGTCGATGAGGCCCAACAGTGACCGGCGGGTGAGGTCCGTGCCGATGCGGCGCAGCACGAA